TCTTATTTATTCTCTAAATAAGAGAGAAGGGATGGAGAAAGCTGGAAAGAGGGTAAACAACTGACAGATGAGAGACTGGGAAGAATCTTTTTCCAGTTTGCTCTTCAGCAATCTGAAAATATAAAATTTATAACCATTGGAGACTGTATTCAAAATTGTCCCACTGGAGGTTGCCCAGACAGGAAGACTCTGAAGGTGGTAATTCCTCATTTTGACCTTCCAGTTCTCTCTGTCCCCTCTACCTTTCTAGCTGCTGTGTTACCTGGGTGGGCATGGGGGAAAACAAGAGAAAAGAAGAACAGTGTTGAAAATGCTCATGCCTGGAGGCCAGCAGAGATCTTGGTGTTCCAGGAGCAAAGAACAATGCCCATCAAAAACAAAGATAGAGACACTGGTGCTTAGAGATGGACTCCTGCCATGAACAGAGTGGTGGGAGGAGAAACTTGAGCAAACCCATCTCCAAAGAGGTGTTGTTTGCTTGCCAACGTGTGCAATGTCACCCCGACCCACTGGTCCCACTCACAAAGGCACCCGGCAGCCAGATCCATGCTCCAATGGGCTTCTCCTTGCTGCTCACCAGCTGCCTTCACCAACCCGGACACGCAGGGACAATTCCCCCTCCCACAGATCCGGGTGCTGGGACTCCACCGCCAACACATGCAGAGTCATCAGGCACAGCTCTGCTCAACCCAGCGCCAACTGGGGCTGCTGACAGCAGAGGTGCTCTCCAGAGGTGCAGCAATTAAGTCTGGGTGCCTTTCTGATAAGCTCTGGACACTGTCTGCAAGGCACAGACACAATGAACACTTGGGCATCAAATCCATCAGAGGGAACAGTTATCACGGTGTATCCATCCCTGAGGGGGGAATTGGCAGTGAGGTTCTTCAAGGGTCTCACCCAAATGTGGTGTTCTACAACATCTTCATCACATTCCTCTGGCTGGGTATTTTGTCTCAGATTTTTTTTCAGTATTGATCATCACCTAAAGGAAGCAAAGGAGAAATGGTTTATGAACAGGATTTAATAAATTTCCAGTTACCATGGTGATAGTAGGAGGACATCTCAGAGGGCTGTTCTAAGTCCTGAACTATCCAGGGCCTTCATTAAAAAATTGCATAATGGAATAAAGATTGTGCAAATAGCAGGCTAAAAGGGACTGCAGTATGTTGGAGGACACTGGAGATTATAATTTTCATAGAATCCCAGAATCGCCTCGATTGGAAAAGCCCTTTAAGATCATTGAGTCCAATCCTGAACCCAACACTGACAAGTCCCCGACTAACCCATGTCCCTCAGCACTATGTCTACACGACTCTTCAATCCCTCCAGGGATGGGGACTCCGCCACTGCCCTGGGCAACCCCTTCCAATGCCTCAGAACCCTTTCAGCAAAGAAATTCTTCCTCACATCCCATCTCAACTGCCCTGGCCACAACTGGAGCCCATTTCCTCTTGTCCTGTCCCTTGGTCCTTGGTTGAACAGACCCACCCCCACCTCTCTCCACCCTCCTTTCAGGGACTTGGACAGAACCAGAAGGTCTCCCCTCAGCCTCCTTTTCTCCAGGCTCAACAACCCCAGTTTTCCCAGCTGCTCCTCATAAAACACGTGCTCCAGACCCTTCAGGAAAAATTGGTGGTGAAGGTGGAATGAGCAATATCTGGCAATGCAGCCATTCTGCAGGAGAAATGTGGGGCTGCAGAGAGCAACACGATGCACATAATAGTACAATGACACCCTGTGATGGCAAAGGCATAAATCATTATTTTTAAATTTAAATAACAAGATTATCACTTGTCAGGTGCTTAATTGAAGCCTTTTCTTACTCCAAGCTACTAGACTTTCAGGTAGTGTGCTGTTTACTGCTTGGGTCACCATGCTTCAAGGTGTGGTGGAATAGTTGGAGAAAGCCTAGAGCTGAGATGGTTAAGGGACCAAGAAAATATGATTTATCACAAAAATCTGGAAGAATTGAGATGATGATGATGGGGGAAAAGAATGTGGGAGCCATGGTACCCCACAAATCTGGAATCAAGATTACATAGGAATGGAATAGTATGTTTGCCATGACTAGGGTGGTCCAGATGAAGATCAGTGGGCTTAAACTGTGGTGATGACAGTTCAGTGTTGTATATAGGACAGCATTTCTAGTGGGGTGGAGAATGGTGCCCTGAAGGAGGGGAAATGATGTGAAGGAGACCAGTTATTGGTGGTATTCCCCAAAAGGCTTGACACCTTTCTGAGAGGGATGATTTTGGGTTTTAAGGTGCTCTGTCTGGGGGATGTGGAGCAGTGACTCTGAGGACAACTATGGTTCCATGCATATTTGGTAACAACAAAGAATAAATCATCACAGTTGCATCTTTGTTGGTAAACTGAACAGTGTTGGGGCCCACTCTGTGGTCCTGAGGCCAGTGGGCATACTCTGGCCACATCCGTAGTATTAAATCATAGAATCATGGAATGGTTTGGGTTGGAAGGGACCTTTCAAGGTCACCTATTCCAACCCCCCAGCAGTGAGCAGGGACATCTTCAACTAGATCAGGTTGCTCAGAGCCCCATCCAACCTGACCTGGAATGTTTCCAGGGATGGGGCTCCTACCACCTCTCTGGGCAACCTGGGCCAGGGTTTCACCACCCTCTTTGTAAAAAATTTCTTCCTTCTATCAAGTCTCAATCTCCCTTCTTTTAGTTTAAAACCATCACCCCTTGTCCTGTCACTACAGACCCTGCTAAAAAGTTTGTCCCCATCTTTCTTATAAGCCCCTTTAAGTACTGAAATGCCACAAGGTCTCCCCAGAGACTCCTCTCCTCCAGGCTGAACAACCCCAACTCTCTCAGCCTGTCCTCATAGCAGAGGTGTTTTCCATCCTTCTGATCATTTTTGTGGCTCTCTTCCACTCAAAGCAGGATGACCACATCCCAGTCATGCTGGAAATCATACCTGTCCCATGCAGACTCCTGAAGTGTGGTGAGAAATGTGTTTAGGAAAGCCAGACACAGAAGAGCAAACAGGGCTCTAGCAGGGACCCATCCAGCCAAGTGTCTTCAGTCTGACAGCGGCAAATAGCTGATGCTTGGAAGAGTGGAAGAACATGGAAAACATTCACTAGCATGTGTTTGTAAACCCCTCCAATTCCAGCATTCTGAGGTTTGGGGGTTGTTAAGTTGGACATGGATCCACATCATTGTGCTGAATGCTGCTTAATGGATTTTATGGATTTCATGAAAGTATAGAATAATCCAGGGTAGAAGATCATGGAGATCATGGTCCAGCCAACTGCTCAGAGCAGAGCAAACTTCATAGATCAACTTGCTTTCTGAATACATTGATAGTTTCTTCCTGCACAACATCCATGTCAATGAGTTGCACCATCCCATTGTGTGCAGTGTGAAAGAAGACTTCCTTTGTTCAGTGCATCATACTTTTGTATGTTGTCTCTTGCTTCTCTGGTTATGAGAAATGGAAAACCATAGTTCTATCTTTGTTAGGACACTTACAGTTTTTACACTGTTGTCACATATTCCCAACCTACTTGTCTCCTCTTGGAGTGGAAGAGTCCCAGTATAATAACTATGTCACTATCTGAAAATAAGTCCCCAGCTTTCCCCATCCTTGCTACCACCCTTTATACCTCTTCTTGTCCTACTCTAGGTCTGCAGAGACTGGGACATTAGGAAGAAATTATTTCCTGTGAGAGTGGTGAGACACTGGCCCAGGTTGCCCAGAGAAGCTGTGGCTGCTCCTCCCTGGAAGTGTTGAAGGCCAGGCTGGATGAGGCTTTGAGCAACCTGGCCTAGTGGAAGGTGTCCCTGCTGATGGCAGGGGGGTTGGAACTGGATGATCTTTAAGGTCCCTTCCAACCCAAACTGTTCTGTGATTCTAGGACACCAGCAGCATGCACAATATGCAGCATGATGTTCCCTCAGAACTGTTAGTGACACACCAGTTTTTGCCAGTGACCATTCCAGTAAATCCTAACACTCAGTTTTTCCTTCTGACTGCCTCTGGACACTGAAGTGACTTTTTTTCTGAAGTTCTCTTTAGGACACCTCTTTCTTGGAAGGTGAAATCAAGTTTGCCATCACTGAGTTTCATTTATGCTGCCATTCAGTGCTGAGATCCTTCTGCCTTGCAGACTCCTTGCAGTCAGCTTTCATTTCACTGCCCTGAATAACCTTCTGTTGTCATCGGAGCTTCCCCACCAGCAGGAACCAGGTTGTCTCTGTCCCAGAAATTAAACACACGAGACTCCAGAGCTGTCTGGAGGGTTTGTGAGGAAGAAGTGATGATCAAAATGTCTGCAAGTGGTTGGTTCATCCAGGCACCTTGGAAAAGGCTCTCAGTGCTCCTGCCCATCTGTGGGATGAGAGAGGACAACAGAACAGGCTGCATTGAACATGGTGCTTGCTAAATTTATCAGAGGGATTTTGCAGTCATGGTTCCCAAGATGGTGACACATGGACATGGGATCCATCCCAAGCCAAGGGTGCTCCCACCAGGGCCCTTCTCATCTTGTCCAGCCCCACATGGTGGGAGGTCTAGACAATGTAGGGAGAGTTATTGGTGCATTGTAGTCATGGCTCAGCCCTATCGCATGCAGTTGCATCCTGGCCAAAGGTTGAGAAAGGCCTGAAGCCCTTTCATATTGATCTTGGTTCCTATCAGGTCCCTCTGCCCCAGCAGATCTGTTCTATCTACTCACTGTTCACTCCTGTCACACTCAATGGTTTTCATTTGAATTGAGTATTGATACCAGATGTGGAGAAAGCAAAGTTTTGCCAACATACCCAGGTGCAGAGTGGAGAAGCCAAAGGTTGTGCTGTGTGGTGAACAATGAGAGGTCCCGTGAGCCACAGGACCTCCCCCAGAGCCCTATTCTCTGCTTGGAAAGGCACTATAAATACGAGGATCCCCAGCCTTGCCACTCAGCAGCATCCAGCTCAGGCTCTCTCCAACCCTCCTCTCTCCAGCCGTGTGAGATCCTCGCTGAGCCCCAGCCATGAGGTTCCTCTACCTTGTCTTCACTGTCTTTCTACTTGTCTCCTTGGCTGTCCCAGGTAAGAAGGTGAATTGAGTTGAGCTGGACAATGGTGGGAGAACCAGAGTGATGAGGGTCAGAGTGGCCCGTGCTTAGTAGACAGCTTGAACAAATGTGATCTCTATTGGGTTGAAAGGCTGTGATTTTATTGCCCCCATAAAGGTGTCAAGTCCTTTGTGTATGCAGATGGCTGATGGTCTCCTGCAAATGCACAGATGACTTGGTCACTCCAGCTTGTTTAGAATCATAGAATCATAGAATGGTTTGGGTTGGAAGGGACCTTCAAGATCATCCAGTTCCAACCCCCCTGCCAGCAGCAGGGACACCTTCCACTAGATCAGGTTGCTCAAAGCCTCATCCAACCTGGCCTTCAACACTTCCAGGGAGGGGGCATCCACAACTTCCTTGGGCAACCTGTTCCAGTGTCTGACCACCCTCACAGTGAAGAACTTCTTCCTAATATCTCATCTAAACCTCCCCTCTTTCAGCTTAAACCCATTTCCCCTTGTTTTGTCATTAACTGCCCTTATGAAAAGTCCCTCCCCAGCTTTCTTGTAGCCCCTTCAGGTACTGGGAGGCCGCTATAAGATCTCCCCGGAGCCTTCTCTTCTCCAGGCTGAACAGCCCCAACTCTCTCAGCCTGTCTTCATAGGAGAGGTGCTCCAGCCTTCGGATCATCCTGGTGGCCTCCTCTGGACTTGTTCTAATCACAGGATCATAGAATTGCCTAGACTGGAAAAAAACCTTCAAAATGTGGGTTTGTATTCAGACAGCTGAGTTGAACCCTGTATCAAGAAAAGAGACATCCTCTCAAAAGACAAACTCACTTTTGGGTTGAAGTACTGTAACTGGCACTTTTAGGATGTCTTAGACATTTTTAACACCTTCTAGGTCAAGGTGAGCTGGGTCTTGGTGTAATTATTTTAGCCATGGTGTAACAAGCAAGTGCTGGATGTCTTTTTCAGAGATACCAGCCTGCTGGATGTTTCCTGCTCAGCTGATGCCACCATTTGTGTCAAACCAGTTCTGAGTAGATCTTCAGGGTCCAGTTCCCTTGCATTTTAAATGTGCAATGCTGACAGATAACTCTCCAGCTCTGGTTCTCACTACCCTCTTTAATGAACAAAAGGGTTCCCAGTCCAATATCCATTCAGGCTGGACATAATTTCCCAGCTATTTTAGGCCAACAGTCTCTCCCACGCTGGTGCCTAAGTATTTGGCACCTTAATCTCTTAACAAAATGCAGGTCAGATTTATGGTCACCATAGGAACTGACACCTGTGAAACCCTCCATATTTTTTAGAACACCAACTCACTTCTTTGAAATGACTTTGGTGTTGCTGTTGCTGTTTTGCTCTAAGAACATTGATTCTGTCTCTTAAAGAGAGGTGCAAGACTTTACAGATGAGCATCTTTATGAGCTTTGCTTTTGGGGTGTGTGTCATGAGGGGAATGAATGTGCTCTCCTTGGGAGCATCTCTTTCTCAAACTGCACCTATGTCACCAGCTGGGGGGAGAGGGAAGCACAAGGAGTTTCTCAGGCTTGTGCTCTTCAAGTTCCCTTCCTGCTTTGGGGCTGGGCTTGGGCAGGAGTGGTGGACATGTGGGTGAATGGAGCAGGACCTCCCTATGAGCAGGGTCTCATCCTTCTGACCACAGCCACACTAAGTGCTGGAGGTGGTGGGAGGGCATGACAGTGGGGCACAGAGGCACCTCTCCTGACCCAACCACTCTCCTTCTGTCTCCCCTTGCAGGCTATGGGCAGATAATGAAGCATTGTCCTGAGGTAGGGCATTGCTCCAGCAAGTGTGCCAAGGCAGACCTGTGGTCCTTCTCTGCTGACTGCAAGTACTACTGCTGCGTCCCGTCCGACTGGAAGGGGAAATAGGAGCTGAAGATGAAGCTTGTGGGGAAGAAGAGGCAACATGGTGGCTTTGGGGGCAGCTTCTCAACTGTCTAACCCAATTGTCATCCCCTCCTCTCAATAATTAAAAGAGAAAAAAAAAAAAGGAGATGTAACTCTGGGGTGTGTGGTGTGGTTACTTGATCCCATGGAGAACATTAAACCAGATTCTCCAAGTCTAGCCCAAAAGACCCATTAGCTTCAGGTCTCATTGTTCTTTTTGCACAAAATTCATAACAAAAATGCTAAACATGGAGTTTTCCTCTCTGATTCCCACAGTGAATCCAGTCAATGATGGTTGATAAAGGTCTAGTTGGAATAACTCCCTCCTGGGTGTCTTTTTCCGATATAGGCCTCATAGCAAAACCCATGTGTCTCATGTGGGAGAGAACCTGGTTCAGTCATGGGGCTCAAAACATTGGTATCCATCTGAGATCCTGGCAAGACTGTGTTAGCATGACTGGGTAATGAGCAGGA